AAAAAAAAAAAACCAAAAACAACAAATTTGTCATTTTGGGTGTTTTCAGTTATAACTTAGCCAAAATTTTCAAAATGAATTTTCAAAACAATTTTTAAAATGACAAAAAGAACACATTTTCAACAATCTCAAAATAAACACTCAAAATACAAAACTAAAAACGAATTAAAAATTAAAAATACAAAACTGAAACACGAAGAGAAGAACTCCTAAGATATTCAAATTTTCAGACAGGACAAAATGATTCCAAAGAGGTTATTTAAAATATGATGACCATGTGGTTTGATGGAAGGTTCCCTTAGTTGGATTTCATGAATTGTTTACACAATTTGTTAATATTTATTACCGGGTTGTCTGCAGGATTGAGGAATCAGCAGAAGTACATCAACATGTGGAGACATTAGAATATTCTGAAAACATCTGTAATTTCAATTAAGGGAACAAGATCTCTAGTATGTTTATTTGTAAAAATTTATAATGCCGTTTACGTTGAAGTCTTAGAATATTGATTAAACATGAGGCTCTTCTTCCAATAAATCTTGCTTGTGCAGAAATATTATATGTAGCTAAATTTATTTAAAAAATATACGAACCATTTACTAATTTAGATGTGCTTTAATGAGTGGCTTCTAATTTACACTATATTTGATGACAACAACAATTTCCTATTTTTGGGGGGATGTTCTTGAGAAACTCGAATTATCACCGCCAAACAGCTATGGAACAGGTAAAACGCGTTTATTTTGTAAATCCCGAGATATCTATAATTATCGAGAAATTAAAAATTGAGTCCTAGTCGTAAATGATAGATAATAAGAATGTAAATATTGAATCGCGTTGTATTATAGTTATAAACGCGTTAAGTGTCATGTTTGAAGATCTCATTCGCCGGTGTGAAACTTAAAGGGAATTGAGTTAAATTTATGAATCTTTTTTAGATGGCGAGATAATTATTCGGTGAACTCATATTCAATGTGAGACACGCTAATGAGCTATATATAGAAGTATTTCATGTGATGAAATGTAAAATGTTTGACATGGACAACCTATCCTTACTCAAAATTGAGATCAATAATGACGAAATTAGGTAGAATTACCCTTAAATAAATAAAAAAACTTACGGGCATATCTCAGATTGATAGTACTTACATGGTGGATTAAGGTTACGTTCATTAAACTTTATTTGGTGCTACGTAATTGATGGTCATCAATAATGCTCGAAAAGGATTCGCACATTGATGTATTCGATGTGAGGGAGATACATATCGTTTTAAAGGAATGCAGTTAAAGTACGATGTTCAATTGTTCAACTCAACCTAAAACCCTATATCCGTAGGTTATTTTAATATCGTCGCTAGGTGCTTCGCATCGTAGTTCGATTTCAGGTGGGTTATTTTCATTTTTATTTTCTTTGAGAACCACTCTAACAGGATAAGTCTAGATTGTTCTTTGTATTAGACAAAACCAAAGATTTAATGAAGGAATCAAACAAGAATCCAGCATGATCTCTGTATTTTTTTTAGCAGCCATATCCATCAAATACATCCCTTCCCACTCCCCCACCAGGGAGAAATAGGAAAAAAATATATGAAGCATCATTTTGCAACAGACAAACCATGGAACTGAATCAAACACAACCAACATTGTGTCAAGGTAAAAAATTGCAAGGTTATCTCATGTCTGTAAATATCTGCAACACATCCACACCCACATATTTACAGAATTCTTAGCAATTTTAAATGAATCAATCACCATCTAGGCATGCCTTGAATTATTGTTATGCACATTAAAAGTGAATTCATAATAATTAAATATTACAAGGTAGAACGGTAATTCTTACTACGCTAGTTGTACAAGTAGAGGGAACTATATCGACGCCGTATCTTTCTTTTGTTACCATCAATTTTTAATTGTGTTAAAAGTCTCCAATTTTTATTCATTGTCACACTTACGTCTTTAACTTTTTTTGTTTGGTTCTTATATTTAACCTACCATAAACAAATCTTGTTTTTTATAACGATTTTACGTCCAAAACGTTTGTTTGGAGAGCATAAAAGGAATTATTTGCTCCTCATATTTTTACATAAGCAAAAAAAGAAGGAAAAAAAAAAACGAACGTTAAAATTGTACATATGTGACTCTCATTCAAAAGCATGCCAATACAACATTTGAATAGGAACCATCGTCAAGGACCAAATGTACTATGTGAAATAAGTATGAGAATGAGTAAAAATTATAAAAAATTTATGCAATAAAAAAGTGTGATATTGTAAATAGTAAACTTTATATACAAATATAACAACCCATAAATCTTAAACACAATACACAACATAGACGGCTCAAACAATTTGATGATTTAGTTTTTTCCAAACAAGCTTTAATGAGGGAAAAATTATCCATTCTCATTCGGAGATAAATCCAATTCAAGTAGGATTCAACAAGTCCAATCTCAAGCTTGTTTGGTAAAGTTTCAATTTTTGCTTTTTGTAAAAAAACTTCA